AAAGCAAGGACCGCGCAGCACGCGAGCCAGCCACAGCAACAGCAAAACGGACAGAACAACAACAAACCGCTCAGCGCAGCAGTTTTTGAATGTATTTACAGCGTTTTGTGGAGCGAGGGCCCAGCATCGCCGGCATGCCCGGCAGCGCTTGGCGCCAAAATGCGCGAAAATGAGCCTCGCTTATATCCCTCCGATACCTTCTAAAAACAGTGCTTCATGGGTTGAGAGGCTTTTTGGAAGGAAGTCTTGATGATGCAGACCAAGCCCCGCTGAAGCATCACCCAGGCCCAACCCCAGACCCTGACGATGTCAGCCACATGGCCTAAACCCTGCATATACGCGATGATTTGCGAGGGTTTCCCACAGGCGAGCAAAACCGCAAGCCCGAGCTGGTGATGCAGAGGTGCCGGATTTAGGCAGCGCATCACGACCAAGCGGCGAGGGTCGGCGGCACCAGGGTGCAGCCCCTTTCGCTAAAGCTAGCAGGCTAATTGCCTAGCGGCGACATGCTGTTTCAGGAGGCGTAGCTGGATTTACACGCTGACGCGACACGGCCGGCCACCCTTCCCGTCCTTTCCCTCTGAACTTCACTTCCTCTGCATGTCTTCCCTGACAGTTTCCTGGCATGTCCCTTCACTTCCTTCTGCATTTCCTTGAAGACTCCGTTATTCGCATTCCTTTCCCTTTTCGTTCCCGCTGTCCGGTTCTGCCCTTGCATTTTCCTGCATCTCGGTTTCTCTCCAGTGCCCTCTTCATTTTCGTGCAATTCCTTAGCTCCCAGCAACATCCCCAGCATCACCAGCATCACCGGGGCAAGACCGCAGACTTGCAAGCCCAAGGCTGCAGACCCAAAAACAAGCCCAAAAGCGCACCCGCCAGAAGCAGATGATGCAGGTGATGCTCATCACTTCCTTTTCACGCATCCTCGGCATGCACAGGGACCATGCGGCAGCCCCATAGAGCTTCGCTCTAGAGCCTTGCTCCAAAGGACCAAGGGGGTTGGGACCAAGAAGGAAACCAAGGTTGAGATTAAGCCGAAGGTGGAGCCCAAGACCGAAGTCAAGGTGAAGGAGGAGCCCATGGAGGATGAGCTCAACAAGACTTGAAGGGTGATACAGCGGTGCCAATGTCCTCCGAGCTGTCACCCGCTGGCGCTAGCCGACCAGGGGGACGACAAGGAGGATAAGGCCCGAAAACCCAGGCGGGATTCCGATGATGAAGAGTCGAGAGCCTCTGCTGGGAAGAGAGAGGCGTCCAGGCAGTTGGAGGAGATTGCTGGTCGCCCCGCAGAGGGAGAGGGCCGAGGACCTGCGCACCGCGTTGGCCAAGAAGAAGGACGCGGACAAGAAGCAGGAGCAAAGGCAACAAACAAATTGAACGTGCTTGATGAGCCCTGCGATGTCAATATCGGCCACCTGTAAGTCCAAACTTTGGAAGGCCCAGCTTGGTGAAGCTTCATGCCTTGCTTTGCTGTGGCAGGTTCCTTTGTGGCGGGTTAATTAAGTAATGGAATTGCACATGACCTTGGCAATGCCTACTTGCTTGCCCTTCAATAGAAATACGAAAGCTGCAGGCAGGCATTGCTGAGCTGCTGCCGTCAGGCAGCATCAAGCCGAATGCTAGCCAATGTTCAGCCATTCAAACGTTCGAAGACGTCGCGATGTCAAAATGCCTTTGCGGATGCGTCGCCAAGATGGCTCCTGATCGAGCAGCAAAAGAAGGTGCCCTTTGCTCCCCTGCTGTCAAGAACCTCTTCTCGGTTGTTTTGCAGCACAGCCAAAGGAGCACCAGGGGCAGTTTATGGGGATCGCTTGTTGGACATCGCGGATGAACACCTGTGCGCTGCATCTTGGTCCCAACGAGGTTTTTGAGCCATGGACAGCTTCCTGAGAATGTTTGTTCTAGTGGTTATCCCTTTGTTTCCCATTCTCCAGGCATCACAACCTTTATGTCTTTTGCAGGGTGGATTCCCCTTTTTCCCATATGCACCAGGAAAAACACACACGCACACACACACACACACATATATTTTCTTACCTATTTTCAGTAGGGGGGGAATGAAGCCACCAACCATCTGTTTTCTCCAGATCTACTGGCAAAGGTGGCTTGTCTTCCGACAGAAAGAGCGGCTGTAGCTTTTGCAGGGGTCTATGCGGTTGTTTCCATGCGAGGTACGGTCAAACTTAGTGGTGGTCTATGGTTGATTTGGGGAGGACATGTCAGCTGACCCTTCAAGAGTGCTTTGGTTTGTACACTTACCTGCCCAAACAAGGCCTCGCAAATGGGAAGCTTCTCCTGAGATCCTTGGGCGGCAAAAACGAAGAAACCACTGAGCAGACATGCAGGGCTCAAGCGCAAAGCTCTCGGCAGTGCATTTTTTCAGCACACGGACAGGCGCCTCATTGCACGCACAGCGCGCGAAGGAGTGTCAAGCATGCAGGGAACCTGCTTTCCCAATTCATGATACACCACATGGACAGCGTAGTGCGCAACCGGGCTCTGGCGCGTGAGGTTGAGGAGGCCGAAGCAAGGCGGGCAGCGTCGCACGTAGCATCGCCCATCATAGGGGGCCCACACGTGGTTGAAGCAGACCTTGTCTTTTTTCGTCCTTGGCAGAAGCTGGCCCTAAGGCAATTCCAATGCAAATCCAGCACGCTTCCGGTCACTTTGCGCATTCCACAAGTCCATCCATCAAAGCGGCTAGCTTGACACAGTTTGGACTGGCTCTCCTTTGAGCTATATATTGCGCTTTGTGTTTGGTTGAATTTTGGCTTCCGCGCTGCCGCCAGGGTGCGCGGCGACGAGCGGGGAGGAGATGAGGAGGAGAGAAGAAGAAGAAGAAGAAGAAGAAATAGCCGCAGAGGGCGCGAGGTGCAACTTCTGCGGCGACGCCTTCCAGAACTCCCTGCTGCAGACCCGCCAGCCCCCGCTGCTGCCCTTCCTGCAGCGGCCCCTGCCCGGCGCGGCCGCGCGGCTGCCTCGCCTGCAGCGGACCCAGGCCGCCAGCCCGGGGCAGCGGACCCCCCTGCAGCGGCCCCTGCCCGGGAGGACGAGGATGACGATGATGATGATGATGCTGGATGATGGGGCTGGGGATGATGATGATGATGATGATGATGATGATGATGATGATAATGAGGATGATGATGGATGACGACACGGTGGATGATGACAATGATGATGATGCATCATCCTCATTCATCAGCATCAGCAGCATCATCGTCATCATCCTCATCATCATTATCATCAGCAGCACCATCATCATCCTCGTCATCCAGCATCAGCATCATCCTCATCATCGGCATCATCATCCTCAGCATCATTCTTCAGCATCATCATCATCATCGCCATCATCATCAGCCTCATCATTGTGCAGGTGCCTGGGGCGAGCTTTGCATGCTGGGGATGCGGCGGCTGCCTTTTTGGTCTTCCATAGTTGTAGAAAAAGGCTGCTGTTGCATCCCCAGCTTCACCAGCATCGTCCTGCAGCTGCCCGGAATGGTGCTTCGCATGCCGGGGATGTGGGAGCTGTCTTTTTAACCTTCAAAAATGGAAAACAAGGCAGCTTTTGCATCCCCCGCTTCACCAGCATCATCCTGCAGGTGCCCGGGGTGATGCTTTGCATGTTGGGGATGCAGCAGCTTTTGCATCCCCCGCTTCACCTGCATCATCCTGCAGGTGTCTGGGGTGATGCTTTGCATGCTGGGGATGCTGGAGCTGCAAGGATCAGCTTCGCCAGCATCGTCCTGCAAGTGTTTGGGGCAATGTTACGTCTGCGCGGGATGCAGAACCTGCCAACATCCATATCATCCGCATCATCCTCATCATCCATCATCATCATCATCATCATCGTCCATCATCATCATGCTCTAACCCTAACCTCTACTCTAACCCTAAACCCCTGACCTCTAACCTTTAATCCTCACATCTAACCCTAACCTCTAACCCTAACCCCTACCCTGACCTCTAACCCTAACCTCGAACCCCAACCTCTGACCCTCGCCGCTAACCTCTAACCTCTAACCCTAGCCTCCAACCCCAACCTCTAACATCATCATCCTCCTCATCATCCTCCTCATCATCCTCCTCATCATCCTCATCGTCACCATCATCGTCATCGTCACCATCATCATCATTATCGGCATCCTCATCATCATTCTTCATCATCATCATCCTCTTCACCATCCTCAGCAGCATCATCATCATCATCATCATCCTCATCATCATAACCCGTCATCGCCATCATCGTCATCATCCTGAGCAGCATCAGCATCAGCATCATCATCATCATTAGCACCATTATCATTCATCATCATTATCATCGCCATCATGATCATCGACATCATCATCATCACCGTCATCATCATCATCATAATCATCATCATCCATCATCACCAACGCCATCATCATCATCTTTCATCATCATCATCATCATCAGTCATCATCCTGAGCATCATCATCAGTATCATTAATCATCATTCTCATCATCATCATCATCATCATCATCATCATCATCATCATCATCATCATCATCATCATCATCATCATCATCATTCATCATCACTGTCATCACCATCAGCAGCGTCATCAGCACCATCATCATCATCATCATCATCATCGTCATCCATCATCATCATCATCATTATCGTCATCATTCATCATCATTAGCACATTAACACCATTACCATTCATCATCATTATCATCGCCATCATTATCATCGTCATCGTTACCATCGTCATCAGGTTAGGCTTAGAGGGTCAGGTTGGAAGACTGTTTGTACCGTTTTTACCGCCCCCCACAAAGCTTCCCGTCATCTTCCCGTAGTCTTCCGTGATCTTCGTGTAGTCTTCCGTGATCTTCGTGTAGTCTTCCGTCATCTTCCCGTAGTCTCCCGTAGTCTTCCGTCATCTTCCCGTAGTCTTCCCGTAGTCTTCCGTCATCTTCCCGTAGTCTTCTGTCAGCTTCCCGTCATCTTCCCGTAGTCTTCCGTCATCTTCGTGTAGTCTTCCGTCATCTTCCCGTAGTCTTCCGTCATCTTCCCGCACTCTTCCGTCATCTTCCCGTCAGCTTCCCGTAGTCTTCCGTCATGTCTTCCGTCAGCTTCCCATAGTCTTCCGTCATCTTCCCGGAGTCTTTCATCATCATCATCATCCATCCTCACGGTTAGAGGTTAAGGTTAGAGGTTAGGGTTAGAGGTTAGGGTTGTAGAGGTTAGGGTGAGAGGGTTAGAGGTTAGGGTTAGGGTTAGAGGTTAGGGTTAGAGGTTAGGGTTAGAGGTTAGGGTTAGGGTTCGAGGTTAGGATTAGAGGTTAGGGTTAGAGGTTAGGGTTAGAGGTTGGGGTTAGAGGTTAGGGGGAGAGGTTAGGGTTCGAGGTTAGGGCAAGAGGTTAGGCGTGTCCAAAATCCGCCGCGGGACCCCCCCTCCCCCCCTCAGACTCCCCCTGACCACCACTTAGAACACGCCTCGCCCCTTTGCAGAGACTAACTTGGCTGTTGCAAAGGGGTCGGCGGATTTAGTCTGGCCAGAGTTGGTACCAAAAGATCAGAAAGGCTGCTAAACTAAAAGCATGTTGTTCCGTTTCACCGGCTGGTGTCCACTTGGGTGGCCAAATGTTCGGAGAAGTGCACCATGGACAGCTATCAGAGCCTTGTGAAAGCCTCTGCTATGTGCACGTCATAGGATCCCAACACCTCCCTCCAAACAGGCCTTGTCAGTGCGCGGTTGGATCATTGGGTGACTGCTTCCGGGAGATGCGTTCGAACGCGCTTCCGATATCTTGGGGTTCAATCCATTGTCTCTCAAAGGAGTACATAGACTCTAGAGGGAATTCACCAGCCGAGGTTTGCAAGGCAGTTTCTTGGTATTTGTGCTGTTGTGTTTTGCTTAATCGCTTTGGATCTGTTCTCATTTTTGGTGGGCAGCGAACATCTCACATGTTTTTGCCGGCCAAGGGTTGGGAAGCTGGTCGCAACAATACTTTTCAGAGGTGCATTTTGCTTGGATGTCAGGGACTTTAACTTTTTGCCAATGGGTTTCCCATTAAACCACTAAAAGTTAAACTTTTGGGGAGCAGAAAGCAACCGAGCTTTGTCATCACTGTTTCCCCCTTTCGAAAAAAGGCGCGCCGCAAATCTACCCGAGGCTCTGGCATCCGACCAGCCTGGCTGCGGTGCTGCTGGCCTACGGCGTCGGCGCCTCGCCCGTTTTTTTTTTTTGAATTTTTCAGGGGTCCCTGGGTTTTTTTCCCTTTTGGGGTGGGTTCAAGACCGCCTTTTTGGCCCATGAAAGGTGCGTGGTTTTTTGTGAGGGTGATGTTTTAAGGGGCATGGAGTCCTGTTGTGGTGGTTTACAAGGTTTTTTCTTGCCCTTGTTTGGCGGTTTAAATGGGGACCCGAAAAGACAATTGAAGTCGTTTTGCGGGGTGCTTTGGCCTAACAAAAGACACCCGAAGGGTGGGGTGGCCGAGTTAAAACGACAAGTTAACAGTGGACACCGGTTTTCAAAAAAACAACAACGAACATACATGCAGTGGAGAATTGGAAAGGGACACTGAAAGGAGACCCACCCCATTGCTGGAAATCTAAGCGTTTGGCCTTTCAGTTTGCCCGCAAACAGTTAGCTTCTGCAGGGGTCTACTGGGGTTCTCTCCAAAATGACCGTAAATTTTGCACGCATGGGTGTGTCTTGTTTGGGGTACTTGTTTTGTTGGGGTTTTAAAGGGAAACCAAAAGGAATGTCACTACTCTTGTTTTTTTGGGAGATTGCTAGAGGAGGTCGCTAGACATTTGGGTTCACTAGGGTCTGGGACCCCGGGGGTTGCAGACCGTTTGCAGACCTTTTTTCGGTGTTTCAAGCCTTTTGCTCCATTCAAAACCACCTGAGCATCCCAACCCCCCCCCCGCCCAACCAAGAAAAAACAAAAACACCAAAAGAAAAAGAAGAAGAAGCCAAATGTAGTAGGTTCTACTTGTTTTCTCCTTGGTCGAAGGTCACGCCTGTAATCTTTAGCATTTTTGGAACCACGGGCCAGCCCACATTTGATTTGGCTTGCTGGTGCGATAGGTGGGGGATGACCTTCCGGGTGTTGGGAATGAACCGGTTTTGGGGATTTCCTTCAAGGAATCCATAGGAAATGGTTTATAGGGGTCATTCCAACCCATTCCCTGCTGAGAACTTAGGGGATTCCCTTCAAGGACACCAACTCGGAAATGGATGGTTTGTCTCAGGGCTCCATTTCTGGTTCCCTGTATCTCTCACCCTCGCACTCCAAGCAGCAAGTGGATTCGAGGCTTCGGGGTGATCTTCGCCTTTACCGGCATGATTTTCTTCCTCTACGTGGTGGAGCTGTTCCCTGTGCAGGTGAGGAATGCGGGGGTCGGCCTCAGCTGCTCGGCCTCGACGGGGGCTCGTTGCGGCTCCCTGAACCTCCCTAGATCAAAGCCGTTTTTTGGGTCGGTGAACACCTTTTGAGGTGAAATGGGAGCACCCCAGTTCCACCAGGATTCCACTGCATTTGCCTGATTCCGCCAATGCGGTTGGTGAAAATAAGCGGGAACCCTCAGGTGCCTCAGCCAGACAGATCAAGCTAGTGGAGTGGGGGGGGGGAGTGTTTCAATAAGGCGTTTGATTTTTATCGCGTCCCGTTTTGGGAGATTCATTTGGATCACTTTTCAGGGACAAGCGATGAATATTCTAAAATGGGACACCCGACCCTTATTAATCCGGGTCATATTAAAGGATGACCACAACACAGGGGTAGCTTCCTCTGGTTTCCCCTTATACCAGGGACTCGATGTCTTTTCTTATGCCATTTTGAAGCATCCCTGAGACAGGCCAAAGGAAAACATGGTCGGATATCCAGGTGACCTTTAACATGATCACGATTGGCACGCATGAGAGCGGTGATATCCTTCTCACCTTGATGAGTAGGAAGTTTAGTTCCGGGGTTCTTTGATGGACATCATTTACATGGGAATTTGACATGTGTTGGCTGTATACGAATATCTAGAACCATGTAGAGTAGTTAGCCTTGGGAACGCTTAAATTAGGTTGCTTGGTTCAACCAGTTCTGTGATGTTAGAGGACCGTGACTTTGTCTAATCGGAGGAATTCTGGAACACACTTTGGTGGTATCACTTTTAGTGGTAGCACAGGTTATATAGTGGTATCAGGGCGGTCATGTCAGGATGGTGGCCAACCACCGCTTTGCGGACATTCATCCCACGGAAACCTCACCGTTTGTCGGGCGTTGCCGTGGTTCGGCGCTGTGGTGCTAGCCCAATTGCGAGTGGCACCGTGGTCAAAAGTACCAAGGTGTCCGCCAGAGGACAGATGTGAATCAGAGCTTCCCCCTGAGTATTGTTGGGGAATTTGGTGAGGTACCCCCCCAGAACCACAAGGTGACAACAGACCATGCCTGTGCATGGGAAAACAAGGACTCTGTTTGTTTGGGGGCTGATATTGAAAGATGGAACCCACCGCCAACCAAAACAAAATGTCCATGAGGCTCGGTGAAAACTAATACTGTCGTATGGTGCATTTGGGAGGTCCAAAGGCTAAAGAAAGACAAGCCACCCATTTGGATCTCAAGCCGCTCGAGGCTACAACATCGGGTTTTGCGCCTTCGGCGGCTTTGCGCCTATGGTCTTCGAGGCCGTTGTGATCGGTAGAAAACCTCAAAAGCTTGGGAGCAAGGGTTTGGTGGGAGTTTCCCTCCCACCCATTAAGTGTTGGCCCGTATTTTCCCCCGTTTGGCGGTTTCAAAGTTCCGGGTTCCCGAACCCTTTGGTGGTTTCCAAGCTCAAACACCCTTTTGAGCTTTTGGGCCAACCTACGGTGAAGCTTTTGCTGGGGTGACGTTGGAAGAAGGGGGACACCGACCAGTAACAGGCTTGTGGGGACGGGTTGATTCCCCCGCCAGGAAGCCTTGCGATTGCTTGTCTTGGCTGCAAAACAGCCTCCGGTGCCTGGGATTTGGATTTCGGGATGCCGACTCGCGGAGGCTGCATACCACGGCTATCTCTGGGGCCCAGGGTGGCTGCTGTCCCTGGCGGGACTGGTCACTGCCCTTACGACTTTGGTGTCCCTGCGCCTGCAGAAGTCAGGCGCGATGGCGATGAAGGGAACATGAAGGGGAAAATAGCGACACCTTTGCTTGCTTATATGAGTCATAAATATTCTTCCTTGTTGCAAGATGAAGCCGTGATCGGGACAATTCGGGACACGGTATTCTCCCCAAAGACGAGCGACCGGCTTTGTAGATGGGGGAAGTTGGACAATATCCTGAACCGCTTGGCATGTACAAAACTAGGAATACTGTGAAAAGGCATCTACCCACTGGTGCCAGCATTGCCTCCCTTTGTTTGAATCCAAAGAGGTTGTTTCTCACTGGGCGAACCACAGGGCTGGTGAAGCAGTAGGCTTGTCCCAGTGCTTTTGTTTTTGTTTTTGTGGAGACTTGTTTCCAACCCCGAACCAGTTCCATTTGCCTGTTTGGTGGGCCCACAAACAATCGCAACTTGAGCGAATAAACAACTGGGGCACCTTCTTGTTCTTGTTTTGCCCTTGAAATTTATGTCAGCATCCATCCAGCTGGGTCCCCCTTTTTGTTCTTGTTTTGCCCTTGAAACTTGTAAGGCATCCATCCAACTGGGTACCCCTTCTTGTTCTTGTTTTGCCCTTGAAACTTATATAGCCATCCATCCAACTGGGTCCCCCGTCTTGCTTTGCCCTTGAAACTTATAGAACCGTCCATCCAACTGGGTCCTCGTTCTTGACTGGGTCCCTTCTTGTTCTTATTCTTGTTGGGTGGCCCTTAAAATTTATATAACCATCTCCCTCCTTCTTATTCTTGTTGGGTTGCTCTTGTTTTGATAGGCATTCATCCAGCAGAGTCCCCCTTCTTGTTCTTGTTGGGTTGCCCTTGAAATTACTCCGTCCCAGAAAGCTAGGCACCCGGCGATTTCAGAGGAAAACAAGCATCCATTTGGGGCTTCCCTAAAAGAAATGGCTGCCTTCTTGTTTTTGAACATTGAGACGTCACTTGCAAGAGCGGGGAACGGATTTTGGAATGGCAAAACGAGCTCACCATGTATTGGATGGAGTTGCACCCATCCCTAACATCCGCCAGTTTGAGTTTACGGTGTCCTTTCCCGTTATTAGTGGCATTTCCAATGATCCCCAGCTGCTGTGGGCTATTTGAGCCTTTATAAGAGAAGTGGTTTCTCTTGGTCACTCATTGGAAGCATTGGGTTTGTGCAAAACATATTTCGTCATATTTCCCTGCTGAACCTATCACCTTTCGGGCTAAATGCCTCTCGAGTTTCAGAAAGTACATGTTTCAACACATTGGTGGCTCGTCTTTGTTGGAGGGTACCATTTGTTTGTGGTACAAAGGAACAACCACAATTTTGGGGATCCCCTTAAAAACGACACCCGCCCACTGTTTGACGTGATGTTTCTACCCCCCAAAACGGTCTAGTTTAGCCCCGCTAGGCCGCATGCAGCTGGTGCACGAAAGGCGGGATCCATGCAAAATGTTCACATTGCGCCAAGCTCGGACGACATCCCAAAGAACTACTTTAGGAAAGGAAGTTGGAGCACTCCAAAATGAACCTGGAGCCCTTGAAATAGTTGGATACAACCTCCTTTTCTTACAAGCTCTTAACTGGAATCTTGCCGTGGGAGTGCGAGTTTTAGGCCAACCGTCCTTCAGCGCTTCACCAAACCATTGCACCCGACTGGGACAGCATTTTCTCGCCGCTTGACCTGCTTGGGATGTGACTTTGAACATTGGTAAAATGGCCATGCGTGTCAAATAGAGGGGCGGGGCCTAAAGATAGCGGTTTTGCTGTTGGTTTCCCATAAAAGCAACTCCAAGGAGTACCCTAAACACACGTGCACAAATACGGGGCCAATCAGCACGTGAGCTCGCGCAACCGCAGTGGCTTTACATGCGCAGGCGACCCTGCGCATGGGGGGGAGTTTGTCCATATGCACAGTGTGGGTGTGTACCCTGGCATTCGATTCGGGGAGGCCGGTGCCCTACTTCTCGCAGTGTGGGTGTGACCCAGTGGCCGATGCAGAAGTGGAGGAGCAAGCCGACCCGCCGAGTGTCAAGGTTTGACTCAGCGAAGTTGGGCCCTAAAGTCGGGTCGGACTCAATCAGAAAAAGCTGGGTCAAATCAGGTTGTCAGTCAAAATGCACGGGGCGGAAGAAAGTGTGAGGCTTGGTGCAAGGCCCAAAAAGGGGCGATGACAACCCAGCTTCAGCTTTCTATGCCTGCTGGTTTGAAGAGCTCTTTTGTAAAGTTGCCCAAGCAAGACGCAGCAAGAGTTCTGCCTGCTGGGCAAATTATGGCGACCTAGGAGTTGCGACCTCGCCCGTGAAGCTTCTTTTCGCAAGGAGAACTCAAGGGTTGGGCGAATTAAGGAAGCGAGTGTTTGCTTCACTGTACAGGCAAATTCGTCTTGTAAAGCCAGAAGGTTTCGGCGGTGTCATGCTTCGATTAGACAGCAAAAGTCCTGGAGATAAATGTGCCATTGTCAAAGCCTCCTTGTACTGTTACTTGAGGTAGGGAGAGGGTACTGTAACGCCTCCTCCTCAGACCGCCATCATTACAGGCCTGCTGTCTAATATGTGTCGTACAAGTACAGTGCGTCATTACAAATTTATGTTTGGCCCATGATGAAGATTAACTAAGTACAAGAGCAGTACCATGATTTGAAAACACAAGGCATAAAGCATTATGTCACAAGAGGTCGCGCTTTCTTCTGTGGTATTGTCATCAAAGCGTTATAGAACAAGCTGTATGACAGAGTTGAGGCAGATCAAAAGAAAGGCAAACACAATGCAGACGCACGCGTATTTGAAACACTATTCACTTGTGATAATATGCACTTCCCTTCATCCCCTTCATTCCCCCCTCATCTCTTCCAGGAACATCATTCTGATGATGCTGGTGATGTTGCAATTGCGATGCTGAGGATGCAACAGAGGATGGGGAATCAAACACCCCAAAGTTTTTATGCGTGACCCACCCACAGAAAGAGTTTTGACCATGGTGAGCGGCAGGCGAGCTTCTGGGCTGGGTTAAAACGGGCCCATTTTGTGGATACCAGAAGTGACAAAGTAGTGAGGATGGACACGTGGCTGGTTTTGATTGGTGGTTCTTGCTGGGAAACCCATCACAGCTTCCTCCAGAGCCACCGTCCCTAAGTTTCAGCGTGTTAGTCAATGCTCCCAATATTTCCGACCTAGCACCACCCCAAAGGAAACTAATTTACACAAAGCACCAACTCACTTCCTGAGTTCCTGGACTTTAAGCTTTTTGGGACGGCCATGTTAGACTTTTTCTGGCCAATCTGCTCGGGAACGTGCAACGTGCTTCGACTACAGCCATCGTCATGGCTCTGAGTCTGGCTGCGGGACTTCCCGCACGCAGCCGTGGCCGGTGAGGCGATGGGGGGAGGTAAGATGAGTAAGCATAGGTGTCCTTT